GGAAAGAGAACTATGAAAATCCCTCCGCAGCTTTTTTGTTGGACAGTACTGTCATTTATCTGTTTCTTCTCCCTGTCATCTTTTGTCCTTCAGTCTTCCTCGTTTGAGCCTTTATTATGTGATTTTGATTAAAGACTTATCTTTTGTTACCTAATTTTCTATTGCATATTGACGGACTATTGACAGTAAGGTCGTGTTTGACTAAGCTTAAAGTCACGGCGTGGTTCAGTGTGTGACTGTTACTCTTCTGACTGTCTGCTTGGATTGCTGGAATTCCTGCAGATAGATATTTGATCACATCTTGTTTGGAATATTTTTTACTGATTCTCAGGTATCGAAACCTTTGGTGTTAACTGTTTCTTTTATTGTTTAGCGCGCTACTTTGCGTCAGAGAAACTTTTGATTGTATAGCACAGGCTGTACCGTTTGAGGTTTTTCGTATTTTTGATATAATTTATTCTATTTCCTAAATTAGAACCGTTTAGATTGAGCACAGCGTTTGTGTTTTGATATAATTTAATACGAGTATCCCAAAAACGCCTGGTACGTTGTACAGAAGAACGTAGTCTGGCCTATCCGAATAAATTTTGGTTCGTAAGTCCTGCGTCCAAACCGAATACTGGCAGTTCGGTCATTACACTATTATATAAAGTGTATTCCATTCATCCCTGAATATGGTGTTCTATTTTATGAAGTTTCAGGTATAATGACTTAATGAAAATTTAAGGTGTTCTAAGAAGATTCACTAAGTCTGTCTTGGAGTATCACAACGACAAGAATTACTACCAACTATGTCAACAACTCATGTAAGAGACTCTCTGGGTCAGGCGCACTAAATTAAACCTTATCTTTATCTACTGGCTTACAAATTGTATTTCTTACTCTTCGTACTCCATTGTATCATCTAACAATCTGCGTAATAAAGAGAACATTCTATTGATTACGGAAACCTACACAAACCTATACAAGAATTTCCCTATTATTCTCAACTCATCCATGTCGAACATACTCTTAGCAAATCTCCGCTACGGTAAAACTGTAACGCAGTTCAAAAGTTTCTAGATGACTTTCTGTCAAAATGCGGTTGGTTTAACCCGTTAAATGTCGGTGTGTTTACCAATGATAAATATTAAAAAGGTATGATATCTATCTAACAGACCAAAAAAACAAAACAAAGCCTTCGAAATTTTGTTCGCATGCTCGTTGGCTATGCTTTGTTTCCTTTTTTATCATGTAGACGGCCGAAGTCCGCCTATGTTTATATTTATTATTATTAGTGTTATTGGGATCATGGTTGATCCTTTCCTTCTTTGCCCTCTCGGTTTTCCTTTGGCATAAGTCATATTCCCAAACATCCAAAATCTAAAACTAAAAACACATTGTCCTGTGTTGCGCTTAATTTTATCTTCACCACGTATATATGACCAATACTGGCTGATTTTTGGCGATTATTCTTTGCAAAATTTAAAATAACACTGTACAAACTCTTATTCTACCGTCAAGTCTTACTGCATCAGTGATTTATTTTTTCATTTATTTGTTTTTTCCTTTTGATAATACATGTGTTACCATTTACTCTTATTCTATTTTCCCAAACACGCTTAATAAACTGGTTAAATATTTCACGTTTCTTTTCTTCATTTTTTACCGCTTTTTCCTTTTCTTTCCTTAAAACCAACTCAGTATTTTTCTAAATTCTACTAAACCTTGTTAAGTATGGTAAATATTATGAAAACATTATTGAAACTTGCATATAAAATCATTTCAGAGGAAATACAAAATATTTCTCTCACAACATTTACATACCAATAAGCTGTTTGTGAATAGTAACGATATGACTACGGAGACATATCCGATCGAAATGCAAAGAAGGGAAAGAAAAACTAAACTCAGAATCTAATGCGGTTTGGACATTTATGGTTCTTGTGATATCTGAGTAGGGCACAGATGTGTCCACGCATGCTGAGAGATTAGTACAGACAAGGGCTCCATCAAGAAATCTCATAAACGTACATAGTCCATCTGACAAGAATGCTTAGGAGGGAAGACTGTTATATATTAATGCATACCTTATGAAGAAGAAGTTTTCCCAAGATTTTGACCAATATTTTCGAACTTTGATAGTGGACACTTTGTATCGAAGGTCGTACATATGTGGGATTTTGGTAAGAAATCTATCACATGTGGAGTAAGTAAGTTACTTAAGGAGCATGAAGCAGGGAATCAAATGAGATCTAAACCTCCTTTTCTGGACGGTTTTAAGTCCTAGGATATGGGATCGGGAACGGTGATCAGTGAGCAAGTCAGTTTCAAGCATTTTGTGAGTGAAATCACATTGTGTTCCTTTCACCTGCAGAAATCGGATAGGCGTAAGGTGGAAAATAAGAACGAACAGTATTCAATGATAAGTCTTACACACATCTCGTAAAGAATGACTCCGGACTCATTTTAAAGAAGTTACGACGATTGAAGCCCAGCAATCTCCGCATTTTATACGCTCAAGTTGAGTTATATTCAGAAAAGTTAATACTGTGCGGGTAATGCACCACAAGGTCAGTTACTAGCGTGCGTTTGAGCATTGTGTTCTCGTTAAGTCCTAGTTTTATTTTAACACACGTGTCCCCTATACATATCCAGCCGCATTTCTCTGTGTTGAGTTCTACGCTCCAGCACTTACACCAGTTGACTTCATTCTGGATTGTTTGCATAGTACTGCTTACATTACAAACGTCGGTTTTATAGATGAATTTTAAGTCATCGATGTAAAGGTTGGTTATATTGTATTGAAGTACCTGCACATGTTGTTGATGGAGATTGTAAAGAGCAATAGATTTAAGACACAACTCTGCGCAACACCACTGGTCATCGTTCGAAGTATAGTTGTTGTGGAGTTAATTTCAGTTATTTGGAATCCAATTGTGGGAAAAAACAACCCATTCCTGTAAGGGGCTTGTAATCCCAAATGATTTAAGTCTGTTGATTAGCATTTTACATATGACCGTTTGGTCACGATACATCACATCGTCCTATAGTATGGGATTAATGTTTTGATCTGTACTCTTTTTAAGCGCTTTTTAAGTAAATTATAAACATTTTGGGATTTAGATGCGGTAGTGAGTTCAGTACGTTCTGATTTTAGTTTATGTTTTGTATGCTGAGTTCACATATGCCCAAATAATGAGTATATTTGGTGCAGGGCACCGAATTCTTTTGACATAAAATACATTCTTTTTATTTTTTTGAAGCTATGTTCTAGATTTTTAGTTGATTTAGTTGTTTTAAAATTCACTTTGGAGGAAATAGTAGTGTCTAATGAGAACTTGGTCGTAGTATTGAATATTTCCAATATTTTCAAAAGCTTATCACTGGTAAAAACAGCTCCAGTCAAAGTGCTTCATTAGAAATTGAAAGCTCCCCCCATCAGCATATGTATAGTCTAGATGTTGAGAACACGTAGTTATTGTTTTTGATTTGTTAAAATATGCAAGAAACGGTAGAATGCAGAGGACTATTTTATGATCACTGGAGTGAAACTTTTCGCCAACCACCACAGATGTTTGTGTGATATTGTATCAGAATATTGAGTCGCCAGTGTTGTGCCGTGGTGAAGGTAGAAGTACATGTTGCTACTAAACGTGTATGTCTAAGGGACTAAATTTTTTACAATAAACGATGGATCGGAGCGTGTCTTGCAGTTGATGCTGAGAAGGTTGAAATCGCCACAAATAATTTTTCAGGCAAACTCAGGGGGGGGGGCAGACTTAGCAAATGACTCACTTATAGCAGTGTCAGTTGGACTAGGAGTGTTTGTAGCTCAATATGCACATACATCTAGCCTGTTGCATTCATGAACCGGATAATTTTCAAACCTATCATATGATCGAGTTCATTTTTGGCCAGTATCAGCTTTTCGACAGCTAGCTGGTGCGCTTTCGAGAATACAGACTGTCTCTTAATCGTTATGTGTTTTGTAACATTGCTGGCTACACGGTAGTTTCGGTTGTATTTTGTAAAGTTCAGAACGCGTTTTGAGTGTTGGTTGGAAGTGTTGACCAACAGTACTGCCTGCTAATTAATGTTCGATTGGGTCGATGACCAGGTTTTTATTTGTATCAGGTCATTTGTGCTGAGATTTATAGTCTAGTTTTGTGCCACTTGAAGTTTTTTGCCGACATAACAACCCTTGGTTCTCGGGGGTTTTCATGATCTGAAGAATTCAGTCGGCACATGCAGCCAATTCATCTGAGGAGTTATTTTTGAACGAGAAAAAAATTCCGAGGAAACAAAGGTAACATCGAGGCACGTAACATCTAAAACTTTGCTACAAGGGACGAACTCACGGTTTATCGTTCGGTGTGCCAGATAACAATAGGCTGACCACCGAAGGAGTCACGGATATTCATGACTTGGAAACACTGTTAACTGTAACGAATTTTCACTCAAATATTCTGGAGCCAGTTAAATACAAAAGTACGAGAGAAGAAATGTGAAAATATATTTCGGAAATTATTAGTCCACACAGGCTTTTTCAACCCAAACCGACTAGTTCTCGCAAGGGTTGCGTGGCATGACATACCCCTTGGTAATCTGGTATGTATACTTTAACGAGCTCCCTCAGGTAGGAGTGCTGCGTCCTGTAAAATTAATGAGGCCGGGACTGATGATGAAACCTCATATAACTATTTGTCCTGTGGGTTTGTTTACTGGTAAACATGAAGAAAACATATTAATTTACATATTAATGAGAGATACGACTACCTTCATTGACTAGATAATAAAAAACTTTTACTTTATTTAATGCTATAGATCACAAAAAATAATACAGATGATATTATAATGGATATAGAAAGAGATTCTATTACTGTTTTAGAGCTTTGTTGTTTAGACTGTCATTAAGCGCTCAAGGTCCTCAAGGTCTTTTGTGTTGCCAATGAGTGACAGTGCTAAATGATATTCATGCAGTTTATTCGTCAATATATTACGTTGTTTCATCTTCAAATATGAAAGTGAAGAGATCTAAGGCATCGGACTTAGCTGAATCACTCAAGCACCTTAAAATGTAAGTCAGATTGGACATTTTCCAGCTACACCGTTTTCTGTGCATTACGACTAGGATTAGTTTCAGTGTCACGAATGACAGTTAAGCTCTTGGTTTCATTTAAGGTATTTTCATTTTTAGACCAGTAGATCCGAACAGTCTGTACCTTGGGCAACTTAGTAGATAATCAAATGTGATATATTTCACAGGTCTTAGAGTCAGATAAAAGTATTATAGTTTGTCGAACTAATTAGTTTTTCCAAAATGTTTGGGGCTTTTTTGTCAGAATTTCAACTCGTTTTGTCCTGCGGTGGCCCCGTGTCTAGAGTAGGAGTTAGATACTGCTCAAATGATCTCGTCCCCCTTTTAAATATATTTTTGGGCAGAAATTTAATAGCGATTAAGCGTCAATTTGGCTTTTTTGTTGTCCCACCCTGTTTATTCGGGAAATTACCACATGCCAGTGCATCAGTAGGCGAATCAGCATTTATTGGCGACATATTTTTTTCGACGTATGAGGATAAAAGTGCTGTCGTAAGATGTAAACTAAGAGCGTTCCATCTACATTTGTCACCACCTATAACATGATTTCCTCGATAGATACTCAACTGTGGCTGTAAATCATGGTTATTAAGAGTAGAAGAGATCTTCAGAATACTAGTACATAATTATAGATGTCTTTGAATCACTAATCAGTTTCTGCGTTACTTATGACTGACTGTCAAATGACGTGTTCAAATGAAGAAATATGACGTAACCCATTTATGAAGTTTAGTTTTAGGTACTCGGATATGTTTCATTTACTAGACGCTTAACTGTTGGGTAGGAAAATCAAGCATTCCTCCTGAAGTACTCGAGCTCAAATAATGTAAGTTTCCCATTGTAGTAGACCTAAATGAAACTCCGGGTCTAAACTTGGTTGAGCTGTATTAGCGAATATGGTGTACGTGATCTGATAAAACAGCTATCTTAGTAACTTCACAAATGGTTCTATTTGATGAATCTCGGCATCTGCAGTAGGTCTTAATCAGCTACTAGCACTTAAATTTCTCAGGGATGCAGAGGAGTTACTATGTCAAATGGTTTTATTCTCTGTTGTTAAACTGAGTTCGGGCGTATTGATCAACAGTGGATGCCAAATCTCAACTATTTGGCTGTCTGGTTAGACTGCGTTGGCCAACGCAATTCATCTGAAGGTTGATTCCACGTAGATGTATAAAACGTCCGAATTTCTCTCAGTTGCTTTAAAAAACTATTGATTTAAATATGAACCTTTTTTGAAATATCTTTATGGAGTCTCAGAAAATCTTTCAACAACTGACTCATATCCTCTATTTCACCTAGGGAGGTTTCCAAATGTAGGGTACCGGTTTACTTGTAATCGAGAGCCTGTGTATCATTTTGATGATAATTTTCTGGATTTTTGCATCCCTGAGTTACAGTCAAGCGCTAAATAATTGTCTTTTATACATTTTTACTGTTGAATTCTCCTAACTGGTTTAAAAAATGTCTTATTAGTTGAGTCACTGATTTGAATCAGTTTGGTAGATAAACGTCTGAGTTTCATATCACTCCTAATGCTTTATTCTGTTTTTAATTGCTTATTTTTCGTATCTGCTATCTTCTGTTTCTCATGTTTATTGCTTAGAATTAATCAACCTACCCAATATGCACTTTTTGCTAGAGTTGATCAAAATGATTTTTCTCTCATCGATCAGTTCATATAAAAATTGCATTTCATCTGTCGATCCGGATTGGATTGAGTTATCTTAACAACCCAAACCATGCGCACGACTAGCTATAAAAAGCCTCATTCATGACATGTATAAGGCTGAAAACTAATCAAGTTTTATAAGAGAGATCTTTAAATTGTACAAGCCAAATACTTTTCAGGAGTACAGAGAATACTTTTCAACTTAACTTACTCTAAGCGAGTTTTAAGTGTTTAAATTGTTGTGGAAATCAACGTGTTAAAGATTTTAACATCTTTTGTTACTATTATGTTGATTGGTATGCATATTTATGAGTGATTGACATTACTGAAATGTTATCACGGAAATTCGTTAAGTATTTTGGAAATTTAAAATCAGCCAGTCCCAGTAAATCTTTGGAATAATGAGTATGTTATTTCCGAAAATCTTGAGTGTTAATTATTTTGCTAATTCATACCCATTTTTTCATGCACTTTATGTTTAGTAGCGATCGCCGTTTTCGTCCCCAACTGAAGGGGTCTACACTCCACACACTTGCTTCTCTTAATGAAGTATCTTCGAGCTGTAGATATAATTTTCGAAAGACACAGTCTGCTTCGTCAGCAACGGTTGTAAGTTACGGTTTTCGGTGTTGCAAAGCATGTGAATATTGTCGAGCTATCAGAAAAGCTGGTACTGAAGGTGAAGTGATAGATAACAATTCATATCAGGCGAGTACTTTGTATCCATGTTTGTCAGTAGAACATTCAAATACATCTGCAGACTGTTCTGAAGACACAGGATCTTTCTTAGAACCGCCTACTTCATCTACCAGAAGACCATCTGGCTACCTCTGTACAACACTCCCGCCCAAACCCTGCCATTCTAACTATAGAACCGTAGCATATGACCTGCGCCCTTTGCATGTTTCCTCCTTCGAACCCACCCATTTACGTCGATCTTATGGCAATGAGTTGAGTGAACTTGAACAAGACCATAGTTCGATCACTCAAAGTCCTTACAACACAACCAGCACAGATCACGGTGATCACCCTTTATGCTGCTGTCATGTCATTGGGTTTCATTTACCTCATCATTTACGTCTATATCGTCGACTGTACAGTCTTGTTGACCACCCTTGTGTAAGTCTATATTACCCTTGCAAACATCATGCATATAGACACACTACAGTACCCAGTGGCTGTTCCACGGGAGCAGCTACTTCCTTCCGTCGTTCTTTATCATCAAGGCATCGCCATACCATTACTCCAGTTTCAGTCCATCGATTTAGCATCGATTCACGGACCGCATCATGTTCTAAATCTTTAGATACTGAGTGCGATTCGGGACTGACAGATATATCTCCTGGATCCAACTATTGTAGTATTCATCAGCATACGGCAGTGCAATCGTGTTTACAACAAAGTGCAGCTAAATACAAAAGTCAGCTCACTGAAAATCGTCTTGTTGGAACCCAGCGTTGTCGTAGAAATTCGGATCCAGAAAGTTGGCAGCAGTTTCGTAATTTACAATTCTTTGGACCTTCTCTATCTAGTGATATGAACGAGAATTTTGATTTGAATGTCTCTTACGACGGTGAATTTAACCGGACAGAAGAACTACCAAATAACTCACAGACTGATCAAACAGATGTATCCATTCGGTTTAGTACATTTAGGAACCGAGAGGTGAAAAATTTAGGGTAAGTTTAAATATTTCAGATATTATTTATAATTGTTTTTCTGTGTTTAAGTATTTTTCAAGCATTTTGTGAATGGTATTTCACTAGGATAGTAACATCTTGTGAATTAATGAAAAGTTTCATAAGTCTGGAGTTAATAATATAGAATGTTTCAGCTAATTTTCCTCAAAAAATCAACCTTTATGGGACAGACAACTTTAGTTATACTTGTAATCGCTCGTTTCGTTTATCGTATTTGAGTATAGTATACATCATGGGTTGACTTTAGCTGGATATATTCTTAAATGCTATGGAACACTAAGTATGTTTCGCTTAACATGGGACTTCACGATTCCCCCGAGAATTGAACTCAGGATCCTTAAGTTTCGTTTTAAGCACGTTGCTTCTAGATCATTCAGTCAGGAGTCAGTGCTTCATATTTCCAACCTTATTTGATTGGTGATATTGTACAACCAGTATTACGACTTTTCCTAGTGTTCCATAGTTTTCATTATCCATTTAGCCAAAATCAGTTCGTAATGTAAACAATCTTCATATTGAAAAAATGTTCACGTACTTCATGTTAATAGTATCCCCGTTTTCTAGTTAGTAAAGCTTCCAATTATTAGAGTGTTTGGAAACCGAGGTTTATTATACATTCATACACTTTGAACATCACAAAAGTCCCTTTTCATCTTTATTTCTCTTGATCCTCATTATACTTATTGACAATAGAGGATATTTGCAACTCAGGTGGATGATTTCGTTATTATGTTCTCAAACTAGATGGCTTAGTTGAAATTTCATTGTACTTCTCAAAAACACGAGGACTCTACCTCAGTTTTCATTTCTTTCCAAGATCATCAGAACTAGCTAACTTAACACTTGGAGTAACTAAAAAGCTCACTTCTACACAAAATAAGCGTTGACAGTATCCAGTACGGTAATGAAAACTATCTAGTTTCGAGAACAAAGCAACTTTTCATTGATATCATTACTTCTTAAGTTGAAGAACCTGAAAAGTTCCAGCTGTATTTCTAAGACCAAGCTATCAACTGTTTGTTAGTCTTCATCATCCAGATGTATTAAATCAGATGGGAATCCTCTAACTGGAACCCAAAAGTTGTGAAACACGATGACACCTGCTTTTAGTACGCGCTCATACTACAATGTAGTTTAGATGAGATCAGAGGTGATTTTTGTCAAATTCGTCAGTCATTTCAAAAGACTCACCATACAGATGGGGACATTAGTTAACGAGTTAAAGAGAAAGTCAAAGAGCGTAATTGAAACAATGATTGTTGTGACGGTCAATGTCCGAAATCTGGTACTCATACACGATGTGCTACGCGTTAAATCCCCCAGCTGACTACTTGATCGAGAAAGTATATTGGGTTACCGAATAAAATGCACAAATATGTACATATGTATACACATAATTCTACCCCTTAGGAAGTTAACCCATTTCTTAATCAGTGAAATACACTTGTTCTTCAGGTCACTTCTGTTTTCCATCGACTGACCCTCTCATTAGATTACTTTCGATTGGCCCATCATATCGATTATCTTAAAGGTAACCCTTTGGATCCTGTTTTGATAAAGTGATAATAGTGATCTACGATTTTGGTCCAGAGACCGATACGTTTCCCGATAACAGTTATTACAAACATGAAGAGGAGGTGGCTAAAGACATCATTCCATTAATGAACATAAGTTACAATCCCTTTAGTCATCTTTTTAAGAAAACTGGATAGATAATTGAACATACAGTGGTTTGTTTTCATATATATCTGCGGTTAGATAATTACAACCAGCAGAAATCTGAGAAGGCTCTCCTTGTTCAGTAAGAGTACTAGATCTTGAGGTACAGGATTGTCTGGATAACTAATAAAGCATGAAAGTGACTGCTGTTTTGATATAGCTTGGTAAAGTATAGTCTTTTATCTGGAACTTAGTGAATAAAATAAATAAAAATCCTTCTGCTAAAAGTTGCTGATAGTCAGTGCATTTCTGAAACCACGTGGATGTATAGACCAGACATAAATATGTTTTTCGACGTCTAGCTATAGTTGTATTCCTTGGTCTTAGGGCAACGTTCGAATCTGTTGGTCGTGATGTTTTGTGGCAGCGTCAGTCATCAAATGGCGTACCAAAGAAGTACATCAAGTTTGTAAAGCTTCTGTACTCGAACACTCCCAGTCGAGTCCGAGCTTATGGCGAACTGTTATCGAAATCGGTTACTTCAAGTGGTGTTTGTAAAGGTGGTTTGTTTTTCCCATTTTTATTTGATTTCGTCGTAGACATACTTTAGGAGATAACACTTTCATCGTCTCGCTTTCCAGGGGTTGATCTTGGAATATGCAGATGACATAGTTCTATTTAATGAAGACGCTGACAAAATGAAGAGTCGTCTGACTACCTTAAGCAACAGTGCAATAGTGTTTAGGATGAAGTTCTCTCTCCAAATGTGGAATGTTACTTCATGATTGACTTGCGTCATCGCCTGCATTAATGATAGGGAGTGCTCCGTTACCTTGCAAGTTTCATCATTCCTGATGGTCTGATGTCTGACGAAATCCCGGCACGGATTCAGAAGGCTCGATTGGCCTTAGCTAACTTCCGTCACTTGCGGTGTAGGTGCGACATCCGTCTTCTAACTAAAAGACTAGTTAACTATACAGCAGTTCGGTATGTTCGACTTTATGAATATGGAACATGACCATTAAGAACAAAGGATATTCGTAGATTACTAGTATTCGATCATAAGTGTCTTCGAAGTATTGCTCATGCATTTTGGGACCATTGAGTAACCAAAACCTGGGTTAGGAATAGGATATTAGGATGAGAATGGGGAATCGATTGATGAGATAGTGAATCTTCATCAACCGAGGTGGTTGGGATGTGTTGCGTATGCACAGCCGCCTCGACGGGCGATGTTGTGTGGTGCAGGAGTAGACTGGAAGAAATTTAAAGGCGACCGAACCAAAGCATGGCGTCGGTCCATGAAGTCGTTGACACTCGGATTGAGCCATCTTGACATGTGTAGACTACATGGTTGGTGTCCGTGTGGTTATCATAACCAGTGATTAAGCACTTTGAATGACATGGCTCAAAGTCACAGGTGCATCCATTCTTTATCTTTCCCTAACTTTTGAGAGTCTAAATACTTCAAACTTAATTTTTATTTTCTTATTTTACTATTTTATAATTTATCGAATCGTATCTTCGATGCCTAATCTTTCCTATTACCACTAATAATGTGACTACCTCTATTATTCTGGTATTTAGCCTGATGCTTTCATGTCTTTGTGCTAATGGACCGATGTGCATACGTACCAGGTTTTAGGTTACAACTGACTAACTGACTGTAACCATCCGAACTCTTTTATGTATTGGCTGTTTGGCGAGGAACAAAACTATAAGTTTCAATTGCTAAAACATCCCGACTGTACGAGAGTGTGATAGTGCCAAGGCATTTTCCTCACTCGACCATCTCTAACAATTCTGCCTTCCTACATCGGAAGAACTGGGCTAAGAAAAGTTTCCTGCTCCGAGTATATCCGGCATCGGCTGTAAGGCCCGGAAAGATGGAGTTGATGCGGCAAGTGGCCGTGTGTGATCGACACCAAGTAGTTGTCTCTTGGTTGTTCTGTATACCCTCCAAAGGTCTACTAATGACTCACTTTCACCTACAGGTATCTCATAAAGCGATATCCTTTCATGCTCTGGACAACTGGAAAGTGAAAACCCCCCAGATACCTCTTACTGCTAATATATAGTAGACGATTTTGCTGAGTTTTGACTTAAGCTGAATAAATAGTATAAATTATTGATTCTTTAAGTGCTTATTTTATTTATTCAGATCTAACTTACAGTTTCATGGAGCTGATCATCAATATGACGCCAAACTTTGTAATTCAGTTGTGGATAGTAATGGCGATAGGAATAATATTGATTATGAGTATGCTTTGCCTGATAGTAATACCCAATTTGCACGGCCGATTGTTGCAAAAACCACAACTAATTTCCCTGCATTTAATATTTCGAATTCTGTTTTCATTCCATTGGCTAATGAAAATTCTAATTTTTGTCAAATGAAATTTTCACAAAGTACTGACACTTTGCCACAGTCTAAAAATTCAATTGTTTCATATGAGTCTACTTTGAATTCAAGTTCACAACAACAACAACAATTTCACTTTCGACCTTCACTTTTATTATCAGCTGAACGTTCTGAACCGCCTATATCATCAATCATGTATACATCAGATACTTGCTTCTCATTGCGTTCTAACAAATCGAATACTGTGAATTCTTCAGATATATCACTATGCAGGTCACAGACAGAAATGGACAATCAGTCTGGATTAGCTTGTCAACCGTTAGTTTGGACTGACTTAAGTGGTGATGGTGGTGCTAATACTTCACTGAAACAACCTTTTATGGAATCCGATGTGAAAGTGAAGGAAAGTACTGTCCAGTGTTCCAATGAAGCAAATTATTTAAACATTGCTGATATGAGTCATCATGTCAATAGTAATAATAAGCCTCAATTAGTTTCAGATGTATCAGTAAATGAATTAGCTTCGTACATGGAACATATGGTTCATATTCCGGGCCGAATGTCTGAAATGGCTCAAAGAATGTATCTTTAGCTGTAGTATTGGTTAATTTACCTCAAGATTAACGTCAGTTTTCATGTACTAAGATGCCTTGGAAGACAACTTTTCTTCAGCTTTCGTACATAAACAGAGTTTGTTGTTTACAATTTCCTCATAATTGTATTGTGATATGTTATATTTGTTTATTATTTCTGTCTATCTAATTATTGTCATTTAAGTGAAAAATACATTTCGATTTCATTTTCTTTTAAAAACTGTGATGATAATCTCCGAGTGAGGTGGTATACATATAGCCACCATAAATGTTCTGTAATATCTCACATGAATAATTGTATAAAGATTAACTGTAATCCAATGATCATTATAAACGTTATCTGTGTTCATAAAATTACATTGGTTCTCAGATTTCCTCACTATGTTTCCAACTGTACGTGTTTCTTCTGTCAATCTGCCCTTCCTCTCTTCATAACACATTTCTTTTTTGAGAATACATGTTTTTTTTCTCAGTAGTGACGTCTAATCTGTATTATTTATTTCGAGGTTAACAATACACAAAATAGCTTATCATCATTTTGAATAAATGGTATAATATTTTCGCATCACGCTTTACTGTTTACTTTTATCATTATTGACTTTCAAGATGAGTCGTTATTCTTTCGTCGTCTCTCTCTTTCTGTATTCTAATCACTTTCGTCTCTGTTGTTCTGATTAAAGTGGTGATAATTGGTGTAAGCGCATTTAATTGTTTAGTTTGCGTAATTTTCTCTTAGTCCTACTAATTTTCCGCATCCGATTTATGTCACATGCTCAGCTTTTTATCCGTTTTATTTCTAGATACGTGTAGAAATTTATCTATCTATTTTTCTTGATAAATGTAAGCGGTTTACAATAAATAAACAAACATAAAGGCACATGGAATCACTATTTACTTGCTATAAGTAGTAAGCACTATGAAAATAACTATGACGAGTTACTAAGGTAATTCTTCTCCTTGTTAATGGTCCCTGTTATTTTAACCTTGTTTGGAAATTTATTTTATCTTTTCTTATACATTGTAACATTAGGTGAGATCAGTTTAAATGAAAAAAGATAAAAATTGATAATAACAAATAATAGTTAACTACTTCCGCCTCATCATATTTTAGCAAAGTTAAGCATTTCTTAGTATGTTTATTTGTCTTTACAACTTCTTTGTTTCTTTTCCTTATGTTGATGTCTGTTTCATGGACAGGTTTCCGCTACTTATATATAGTTATTTTTTTCTAATATCTATACTAAATTGAGTAATCATATTTAAGAGTAATAAGAATGGAATAAAATATATATTTATATGTATACATAATCGTCTACTAAGTTCTATGTATGAATTAGTTGGGACAGTTTTAAAACAAAATAAGCGAATTAGATAATATAGAACTTTCAATATGAGTGGTTTTCACTGTAAGCATATTTCAGCGAGTAGATCATGTGGTCGTATGTACAATCCATCTTGTTCTTAAGAAAATTTTCAATATAGGTGTATGATTAGTTCTGTTGGATAGTTGGTCTGAATTTCTTTACCGCGTATAGTGTATAAGCTAAGATACTTTAATAGGATGATTACATAGGTAATTGTTTTATTGTTCTTTTGTCCACCACTGGGCAGTTTTAAATTTTAGTTATCACCCAACTGTTCAACGCCATCTTTTATTAGTGTACCTATTCTATGATACATATCTATTGGTTTCTGATGTAAGGGTACTGAATAACAATTCTGTTATTCTCTTAGTATATATTGTTCTATTTTAATGCTTTCTATGATAGACGGTTGGCCTTGGTCGCGCAATTTCGTGGATTGGTTGATGTTAGACACTAACACCACTGGATGTTGGCTCAGTGGTCTAGTAGGTTAAGCGTTCGCGCGCGCGACAGGAGGTCCTGGGTTCGAATCCCGTGAGCAGGATCGTGGATGCGCACTTCTGAGGAGTCCCACAACAGGACGAAACGGCCGTCCAGTGCTTCCAGGTTTCCGATGGTGGTCTAACATCAATCGGTTCATGATCTCAATCAAAAATTTAATAATCTCCACAACCTCTATACTGGTAATAAGAAATGAACTGTATGGACCTATAGTATCATGAAAAAGTGAAGGTTTTAAGTACTTGAAGTGATTTAATATGTTTAAAAGCAATAGGAATTCATGGCAGCAAAAGGCTATGAAGGTCAACTCGAAGTAAACAGAAACGGAAATAAAATGGATTTGTGACTTGAAGGAATCGTGCAGGATGTGAAGGACACATGACGGAAATTTACAAATGAAGTATTCGATGTATGGTTCTCATATTTTATGAAGGGATTCTATAATTTTAAATATAGTTGGTTGTCTCATCTCGTTTATCACAGACATGACATTGGTTACTGCTCAGTGTTTGATCAGTGTTATATTTATGTCAGAACACCGCCTGGGGTCCTTCCAGGGGCTACTGCCGGTCTCAAGCCCAGATAAAGAAGGAGGTTTGGGCATGGGGTTAGCGGCGCCATCCCTTAGAAAACTAGCTCGCTAAAAAACGCTAACTAGAAAGAATTATTTGGACCGTTTAAACTCCGCCCTGGTAGTCAGAAGGTCTTCATTTAGAAGAACTATGACGCCTCATGATGAAAGCCGAATTCCTTCGGAAGTCACGAGGCCGATGCCCCTTCTGACAACCAGAGCAACCACTTATTTAGGTACATGGAATACTCGTACGATGTGGGAGACCGGGAAAGTTCCAAATTGCTACAGAAATGAGGAGATACAACCTAGAGGTGCTTGGGATCAGTGAAACACACTGGACGCAAGTTGGACAACAACGAATAACTTCAGGAGAGCTCCTGTTATACTCCAGCCATGAAGAAGAAAATGCCCCACATACACAAGGAGTTGCATTGATGCTGTCCAAACAAGCACAAAATGCACTTATAGGATGGGAATCTCATGGACCAAGGATCATCAAAGCCTCTTTCAAAACAAAGAAAGAGGGCATTACAATGAACGTCATCCAATGCTATGCACCTACCAACGACCACAATGAAGACGCTAAAGATCAATTATACAATAGGCTGCAGTCAATCGTCGAGAAGTGCCCAACAAAAGACCTGACCATTCTGATGGGAGATTTCAACGCCAAGGTTGGAACGGACAACACTGGATATGAAGACATCATGGGACGACACGGACTGGGAGAAAGAAACGAAAATGGTGAGAGATTTGCAAATCTATGTGCCTTCAATAAACTGGTCATAGGCGGCACCATATTCCCACATAAACGCATACACAAAACCACATGGACTTCACCGGATCACTCTACACAAAACCAAATCGACCATATTTGCATCAACAAAACGTTCAGGAGGACTATAGAGGACGTGAGAACCAAGAGAGGAGCTGATATAGCATCAGATCATCACTTACTGGTCGCCAAGATGAAATTGAAACTCAAGAAGCACTGGACAACGGGGCAGACAGTATCACAAAAGTTCAATACGGCCTTTCTTCAGGATACTAACAAACTCAACAAATTCAAGATAGACCTCAGCAACAAGTTCCAGGCCTTTCATGATCTACTCAACGGAGAAGGAACTACTGTGGAGAGCAACTGGTAGGAGGTCAAAGAGGCAATCGCTTCAACATGTTATGAGGTCCTGGGTCACAAGAAGCACCATCACAAGTAATGGATCATTGTTGATACACTGGATAAGATTCAAGAAAGAAGGAACAAGAAGGCAGCAATCAATACCAGCCGAACAAGAGCAGAAAAAGCCAAGGCACAAGCTGAATACACAGAAGTAAACAAGCAGGTGAAGAGGAGCATCAGAACCGACAAACGTAAATACGTGGAAGATTTAGCAATGACGGCGGAAAAGGCTGCAAGAGAACGAAACATGAGACAATTGTATGACACAACAAAGAAACTCTCTGGAAATCACCTTAAACCAGAACGACCAATGAAAAGCAAGGAAGGCAAGGTAATCACCAACATTGAAAAACAACAAAAGAGGTGGGTAGAACACTTCAAAGAACTCTTAAATCGACCCGCCACACTGAACCCACCCAATATCGAAGAAGCACCCACGGACCTCCCAGTCGATGTTGGCCCACCAACAATTGAAGTGATAAGCATGGCCATCAGACAAATCAAGAGTGGCAAAGCAGCAGGACCGGACAACATTCTAGCAGAGGCACTAAAAGCAGACGTATCGGCAAGTGCAAGGATACTCCACATTCTCTTCAATAAGATTCGGGATGAGGAACAAGTACCAACAGACTGAAAAGATGGACTTATGGTCAAAATACCAAAGAAGGGCGATCTCAGCAACTATGACAATTACAGGGGCATCACTCTTCTCTCAATACCAGGAAAAGTCTTCAACAGGGTATTGTTAAACAAGTCGAAGGACTCCCTAGACGCTCAACTTTCGAGACCAACAGGCAGAATTCCGTAAGGATAGATCGTGTACAGACCAAATCGCAACTCTACGGATAATTGTGGAACAATCAATTGAATGGAATTTACCACTCTACATCGACTTCATTGACTACGAAAAAGCATTTGATAGCGTGGACAGAACAACACTATGGAAACTTCTTCGACACTACGGCGTGCCTCAGAAAATAGTCAATATCATACAGAATTCATATGATGGATTAAACTGCAAAATCGTGCATGGAGGACAGTTGACAAACTCGTTCGAAGTAAAGACCGGTGTCAGGCAAGGTTGCTTACTCTCACCCTTTCTCTTTCTCCTGGTGATCGACTAGATCATGAGAACGTCAACATCTGAAGAGAAGCACGGGATACAATGGACATCTAGGATGCAGCTGGACGATCTAGACTTCACAGATACAAAGGGAAAATTTAAGATTCTACAATTCAACACAGCATGCACCAATCCAATCACAATTGACGGAGAAGATTTGGAAGATGTAAAAACCTTTACATATTCGGGCAGCATCACTGATGAACACGGTGGATCTGATGCAGATGTGAAGGCGCGGATCCGAAAAGGAAGAACAG